CTTCAAACTCAAATTCAGAATTACATAAATCAGTTACCGTCTCCATTTAATGATGTTGATATTTTTCTTCGTGCATACCATCCGGGGCCAGTAAAATACCGAATCATGAAAAAGCAGTCACCAATTTCTCAATATTTCAATGGGAATCTTCCCAACGTTTTTCACGTTCTTGTACAAGAGGATAAATAGATTTTTTTTATTTGTATTTACACCATGTAATAGCAATATGTATTTCGCAAATTTTATTTTTTATATCTGTCTTGCTACAGGCAATGTTTTTCATTTTGTTATAATAAAGCCCGAAGGGGTGACCTAAAGGGTCATGTTTATTGCCACGTGCATCCCATTATGCAGATCGAAGTTATCATCCTGAATTCACATGTTTTTCGTGTGACCTAATTTCTCACATATACACCCATTGGATATTTTTTTGATTAATTTCATGTTTTTCGCCGATCATAAATTTCACTAAGAATAAACTAATTTACCTATCTTTGTACCGTTTCAGACGTAATGCCATTTCGAGAGATATGAGCAGGGTATAGGTATATGAAAGGTGAGCAAACGAAAAATTATTTAGTTCTGAGCATTATGTCGAAAACAGAAAAAGTCTTAGCTGCTAATCTTAAAAACCTCACATACAATATTCTGAAAAACTTCAACGATGATGCGGTAAAAAATAAGACTTTTCCCGAGTTGGCCAACTGCACAGAATGTGATAAGAAGATTTTTGCCCGACCTAATAAAGCATTCACAACGCTATTATGTGGCCACGTATACCATAGAATCTGTATTAAGAAGAAACTTTTACTTGGCAAGCAACTAATGTGTCCAACCTCCAAGTGTGAAAAAAGCGTTAAAATTCTTGAGGAGTTCACTACAGCTGAAACGGGTCTTAGATGTGATTCAGAATCTAGTACTTCTTCATTAGTTGAGAAAATGGGGAAGTAACTTAATATCCAATCTCAAGAAATTATTGATGAAGAAATGTCAGATGTCGATAATGGGGAGAATAAGGATAATTAACCGAGGGATAAGAGCATCGTCATGGTAGAAGGATCCCAAAAAAGACCCATCGAAGTTGATACTGAAGAGACAAATACAATGCAAGATAAATCACCTATTAAGAAAGCAAAAAAGGAAGTTAAAAATGAGGATTCCCAGATGTTGAAACGACTTATCAAAGAGTTAACTAC